TCGCGAACTCATGTTGTAGAGTGAATGATGAGGAGACCTCTCGCGTGCATGAATGACGGATATCCGTTAGCCTACACCCCAAAATGGACGAGGCCACTAGCCCTGTGGGTGGGATTTTTTTGTTAATTATTTTTTCCCACGATTTCCTGGAATCACACCGGAATTTATTCTGAGTGACTGACGTACCCCCTAGTAACGTACCTTTTATCGTAAGAAAGCTCTGTTTCAGGCGGATCGTTTGACCGGAGCAGTTTTTTTTTTCTTGTTGGCGAGAAAATCGCGATTCCGTCGAGATTTTGCCAGATTTTGTTACGTTTTACTTGCTCGAGTGTGAGGTCCAATTTTTTTTTATGACCGGTTTTGAGCGTATCACGTCGAGGGGTACGCAGCGACCCAACTCAACTTTTTTTCGCTGAGATATCACACGGAGAAACGGGCAAAAAACTCATTCCAGGTGGCCTCAGAGTTATGTTTTTTGGGGAGAAACGCACCGATAGATTTCGAAAAACTCCACGGATTCGGGCGAATTGGACCTGCACCCAGGACCGCTTTTTTTTCGATTTTTTTTTTTGAAGGAGATACGGCCTGTCAAAGTTTGGTATGCTCACACACCACACACATCACACGACACACCATACAGCACACCACACAGCTGTCCCATAGACCCCACCGAGGGCACACCCAGGCCTGTACTTGAACATGCCCGGGCGCGGGCGTCCTCCCGGTCCCAAAAAGAAGGCTGGCAGCTTCCAAACACGAGCAGCTGGCCTATTCGGCGGAAAGAAGCGGACCCTCCCCCACCACTCGCTGCGGACACTCCACCACAACATAACAACGACACATGTCATGAAGGAGACGAAGAGGACCACAGCAGCAGCAGCAGCAGGCGGCACTGCAGCGACAGTGATCATGGCAGCTGCAGCTCGGGCAGCTCGGGCCGCGTCAAGTACGACGGCACGAGCAAACGGCAACAGCGGCGCCGCCGAGAAATGCGGCGAAATAAATGCACAAGAGAAGCGGGGTGTGCGCACACTTCTTGAGATGTGGACATGAGTTCCGCCCTGCAGCACTCCAGCCCCCGCTTCTACAGAGTACAACAGCAAGGCGGGAGAGGTCGAGGATGGGACGGTTGTCTTCGAGATTGAGGGAGGTGGAGACGACGGAGACGAGGTCTGCAATTGGGTTGGAGAAGATGACATGCAAGGGGTTGATGTGTGCTTCGAGGGACGCAGTTCCGCCCGCGTCTGAGGGGCTCATCTTTGGGGGATACGGTGGCGACTCGGCCGACTGCACGTCGTCCGAAGAATCTAACGTGGAGTGGAGCGACACCGAGGAGACGCAGCAGCAGCCGTCGCAGCAAGCGTTCAAGAACCCCAACAGATTCGCGGCAGATCGAGATTCCGCCGCACAGCGGAAATCACACCGCGTGCCACGTGCCACCGACGCCGACTGCAGCTCCACGACCGCGGCAACCGAGGCCAAAGGGTGGGCCAGCCGGCCCGGGACGTGGCAACAGGGAGCAGCACCCTCACCCCAAGCGCAGGAGACTAAGTAGTAAAGCGGCACGTAGGCGGAAGAGGGCGTTGAAGAAATCCGAGAGACGGCGCGCAATCAGGGAAGCGGCGCGGACAGGGATAAGAGGAAAACGAACTCGGAGTCTCACTCGTATACGACCTGCTATGCGTTGGAAGGCGTTGCGGGGCAATGTTTCGGGGTAATAACGCGCCGTTTCGGGGCAAGAAGTATCGGTTCGGGGGTATTTTCGGGGTAATTTTCGCCCCCTGAACGGCCATTCCACCCGTTTTACTCTTGACACCGGATTTCGATGCTTCTCGACCTTGCGGTTCTTCTCTACTTTTTTTCGCGTCAACTCTCAAAATCCAGCGAGATAATGTGGGGGTCACCTTGTGGACTCTGCATACACGCAATTTCACCCCATGCAAGTGGTATTGCCAAACCTGGGAAGGAGACAGCATCCACATAGCTGCTGTGAGTTCGTTGGCGGTGTATTGCTCGCCTTCTTCTCTGTGCCCAGACCAGCGCCCTGCGCTTCTGGGTTGTTTCATTTCTAGATACTCAAGTAGGGAGTGAGTACGGCAGACAAACAGAGAGCCTGCGTAAAGCCGGTGATGTTGGTCTCCAGGCGTCCTGACAGACAATTGATTGATCATTTGGAAATGCTGGTGTTGTAGCATGCCGTGGAGCTATCGCTGTATCCCTCCACGCCAGGTGCTAGCAAGTCAATAGGTAGGTGTGCCTTCATTATTGGCATCGACCGTGATACCCGGCGACCAATGAAAATAAGTTTGTACGAGCGGGTAATGTCAAGGTCCCTGGAACGGCCAAAATTCGAAAAACGCACACTGCTCGAAATGAGAATGCCACCATGAATGTCCCCCCATGTCCTTTCACAGACACACATCAATAGCTCCACATACATGCCCTCACCCGAATCTAGGAGGCCACTAAAGCAAGACAGGACGACAGCGAAAAGGGGCACTTTGAGCTCAACCAGGCCAGGACATCGTGGGACGCTGCATATCCTCCGAGTTTGAAAATCGTACACTCCCGAGATCCAGCAGTCATCGCGTCAGCAGCCATATATACTGCTGTTCACAGCAGCAGCAGTATCGACGAGTCCATCATACAGCAGTAGGAGCACATACACTATCATCATAGTCCCACACAGACCCTCGCCCGAACCTAGAAAGCCACTGGTGCATAGCTATGTGTGTGCTGTGGTGTGCCTCTGCGTGCTTGTGGGAGTTGTAGACTAGTGAGCCGGCAGGCCTAACATTGGGCAGGGGACAGAGAAGTACAGAAGTACAAGAACCAGCGATGGGTCTACAAGCCCTCTCACTAATCATTTCACTCATCATTTGAATATACTGAAAAAGAGAAGTTTAGGCTCTGCTTGACTACTGATCTTTTCGAGGCCTACAAGCCTAACCTATCTTACCGCGACCACGCATGAACCCTTTTTTGACCCTGTCTATGCCCACCGTCCTGTGGCGGGCAAGCCCTCATGGCCTATGGGTGGAGATAGCTGTTGAGTCTACAGAAGTTCACTCGTCTCTTTCTGCTGTGTGTACTTCTGTCTCTCTCTTCCGCACTCTCTCCTCCTTTAAAAAGAAAGAAAAGCTAGACCCAAAGGGGTTGAGCCACTATTATAGTACGCGGGGGCCCGCTTGGAAGTCTAGCTAGCGTGAGTGCTAGAAGCGTGGTGTGACCAGCCCATGCGTCGGTTCCCGTCACTACCATGCAACGATTAGCTGAAATCACGCCGAGTGAAAAAGACAAGGAAAACCCGGCGCCGTCTCTCCCCGCTTACCTCCGCTCATGTCCGCGCCCCCCATGTTGCACGAGGACTCCCGGGACCGCATTCTCAACCGTGTTCCCCACAGGTTCAGACGTCGAAGCGGCAAGTTCGAAGGCGCGCGTCCTTGCTCTCGGCGTGGGAACGAGCGTGGGTAAAGCCGGCTGTAGGTTTAAAATTCCAGCGGGAGTACGATGGGTGGGCCAACAAAAAAAATGAACACCTGGGGGTTTGTTTATGGAACCCCCCGCGCGCCTACCATTGCTGTTGTTCACGCGCGCGCTTGGAAGCTATCAAATGACACTCGTTCCACCTTTTCCTCTTCGAGTTTTTAGGGGCATCGATCCATGTCGTCAATCAACTGATGTTAGCTGTGGTTGCGGCCGGCACGACCAGTTCAGTTCATTCATCTCTCGGTGTCGCTTACACAACAACAACAACAATAACAGTCGGCTTTTACTTCGTATTATTTTCGTGCTGCCTGCCTGCCGTGAAAAAAAGTCGCTGTTGAGAAGAATCTGACCTTGCTTACTCGGTGTGACGAAGCGAAGGTTGTCACTTCTTTTCTTTCGAGACCCGCGGCAGCTTGCTGGTGACAAAAAAAATAGTGATGATGAGTGATGGCCCGCCAGACAGGAAAGCGGTGATGAAAAATTTCGGCTCACACACAAGAAAAAAAAAACACACCAGTAGTCTAGCACTGCTACTACTGTATGCATAGACTAAACACGTGGCCAATCGGCTCACCGAAAAATCCTCTAGAGGGAAAAATGTGAAGCCTCTAGAGGATAATACTCCAGAGTAGTATATTTTGGAGGAAGCCCGGGATAGTAATGAAAATGATTCCTCCACAGCTAGAGTGTTTAACGCAGATTCATCCCCTCTACATGGGGGGCATTGATTGATGATGTACCTTTTTCCAGGATAGTGTTCTTCATCAACCATCCATGTGGACTTTACATTTACCCCCAGGAATAATTTTTATTGCGTGATGATATCGCCTAGCTGTGGAGGAAATATTCTCATTACATTCCGGGGCTTCTTCCAGAAGACATTATTGTCCTCCTCTGGAAGCCTACTACTGTTTTTCTCTAGTTGATTACTATATTGAACAATACCTCTCTCCGTGGAGTCTACACTGCAACCCTCTGATAGAGTGAATGGATTTGTGTGACATCCTCTGGCTGTAGAGGAATCATTGTTAATACCTTCCGGAGCTTCTTCCTGGAAATATTATCCTCTGGAGGCTTACCATTGTTTGCCTCTAGAGGCTTTTGATGGATGTTCAAGGCCCCGCACGGGTTCATTACAACCCTCAAGAGAAATTGAATTCTTGCAATATCTCCTGGCTGTAGAGAATCGTTTTTTTTACCATCTAGACCTTCCAACAAATACTATCCTCCAGAGGCGTAAGATTGTTTCAACCTTGTTTGGGGTGTCGGCGCAGCATGTACTATGTTATCACGCTCGCGGGCTCTTGTCGAGAGCGTGTTGCACAAAGGAGTGACTCAAGTTTCTTGATTAACTATTAACGAGTGAGAGACATGGGCAGGCAAGCAGAGCCTACGCGTCAAGTCCATCGCACCCATCATGTACAATATCTATCTGCGTAGCCCCCGGAGATCTCGGAGATTCGTATCCTGCCGAGTACACACACAAACAGCCCCCCTACTCGGTACGAGACACGATTACGAGATCCTCCGTACATATATCGCCAAGTAAAACGGCAACAATTCAAAAACCATTCACCTTTTGTATCCATAAATCATCTCAACTCCCGGATCTATCGAATACTCAAATTTCAGGTTACTCCTTCTTCTTATGACTATGGAACTTCACTGAGTCTTAACAAGCACCCCTCTCGAGAAAACGTCGTCACCACATTCTCAAGCAGTCAAAACAAAGAATTATACTTTAAAAATACTCAGCAAAGATCAACATTACATCAGAGCCACGTCATAAAGACTCTGGACGGACAACTCTGGCAAAACGCGTCAACAAATACCTCGAACAAAATTCTCGCACAAAACTGTGTTTCAACTCATTGACCAATTTAAAATAAGCTTCGGAAGCACACAGGCCTCAACCATGTCTTACCAAAATATGCCAAATCCTTCCTCCAGTACATCGTTCAGAACCACCATCAATACCAAATACATACGGCAAAAACAGACAAAGGTTAAAAACCCGGCGGTCGAAGACGCCAGAGGAAACTTTCACCAATTATGCCGTTTCTCAAACATCAAGACATGGATTTCTTAACAGCCCTCCTGCTGCAGTATCTCCCAAAACATAAAAGCTTAACAGCCCCCCTGCTGCATCATCTCCCAAAACACAAAAGCTTAACAGCCCCCCTGCTGAAATAACTCCCGAAACAGAAAATGCAAGCCATCCAGTATTTCGTCTGGATTGCAAGAAACAGAATACAAAACATATACCGATTGACGACTCCCCTTCGACATATCTCCGACCATGGAACTCAATCCGTCCTATAGCAATACATGCAAGGCACAACTCTCGAATACTAACAACGAGAAAACAAACAAATATCATGACCTTATCTCCGAAAGCCGCAGGTAAAACGCGGAATCGGAAACAAACAAGAAATTCTCATTTTCCGCAGGTAAAACGGGGAAAACGTTTACAAAATGAACAAAAACCAAACCCGAACGTCTGCTAGAACGCTGCTTGTACTGCGACGAGGATCATGGCATCACAATCACATTCATCCCCCCCCATGATTTTCGACAGCAGTGCCAGCAGTGGTCCAACGATGTCAACTGAACCATTCGGCGTGCTGAATTCTTAGATTATCCAAACTCAATGCCCAACATATGAAAATCACAATGTAACCAACCATGCGCATCGCAACTCTAAGTCTACGTCGACACAGTTCTCAAACTCATGGTTTTCGACAAACAAAACAAAACCAAACCTAGAAATAACCCAAACACAATAATTCTCACAAACGTGCCTGAACCGCGCGTAGATCCAGAGCTGCGTCGTTGCAACCATCGGTCATCCCCCACTGGAGCTCCCGATCACGAAGTCTCTTACTTCCTCCTTTGGAGATCCCGATCACCAAGTCTCTCACTTCATGCCGCACACTTCTGCCACGATCGATCCTCCCTTCCTGGCATTACCCCCCATCGTCCCGCACGACGTAGATGCCATTGCTCACGGTCGGATGGGCGCCGGGATGCCTTGCACCGGCGGACAACGCCCCGATGCCGCCGTCACCGCTGCCGTCGCTACTGTTGCCACCTTCGTCGCCATGGCCCAACCAACAGCTATCCTCATCGCACTCGTCCTCCGGCTCTTGCGCTGCTGACGCTTTAGCCGCAATTGCCTGCGTCCCAACCGGCTCCCACACCGCCGCCGCGGGCAAGACTCTGCTGCCGGCGGTCGCCGCTCTCGCCGCCGGTGCTGCCGTCCATGCCGTTGCTCCCGCCGCGAGTGCCTGCGCCCCGGCCGTCTCCCCTGCCGCCGCCGCGGGGAAGATTCTGCTGCCGGGGGTCGCCGCTCTCGCCGCCGGTGCTGCCGTCGATGCCGCTGCTCCCGCCGCGAGCGCCTGCCCCCCGACCGTTCCCCCCGCCACCGTAGTGGGGAAACCACCATCAACGGTCGCCGCTCCTGCCGCAGGTACTGTTCCCCATGCCACCGCGCCAGCTGCAAACACGGGGAGCAGCGCCTCCTGTCGATGCCTTTGCCTCCTCCAGCGTCGTCGCTTCCGCTGCTGGTGCGGCATAGCGTCGTTGCCATTCGCGTTGAGACCCTCTCCGTCACCGACGGGCACGTGCTGTTGCATGCGGTCGATTGTGCAACACATGCGGCGCCGATGGCCATACTCACCGCAGGCAGTGCAGTTGCCTTCAAAGCGTCGTGGCGCATTGCAGTCGCCAAGTGAGTGTCCATGCCTCCCGCATCTCACGCACTGATGAACGACACCAATCAGAGCACCCTGCGGCGAAGCTGACTCCTCTTGCGGGTACACAGCGTTGCGCCCACAGTCATAGAGCCCCCCAGATCCCCACGTCGGGAAGTTAGGAGGTGGGTAATGTGCAGGTGGTGGCTGAGGACGAACCCACTGCTGATGCTGCCGCTGTTGCCGCCACCGCCGTTGTAGTCCCCCCTGACCGTGGCCACCATGACCGGACCCAAGCCCACCAACCGTCACCGCTGCCGCCGGTGCCGCCTGCGCTTTGCCCAATTCCTTCATCATGACCTTGTTGGCGTATGCCGCGCGAACAACGTTTTCCACCTTCGCTCGGGAAATGGTGGGGTCGGCCAGGATGGACTTGCGTTCGATATCGTACTCGTGCGCAAGCTGGCGGACAATGATGTGCACGATAGCCCGCTCAGATTTTTCGATGCCGACAGCTTTCATGATGTTGATCACTCCGTCTACTCTGGCGAAGAAGAGTTTCGGGTCCTCGCCGGGATGCATCTCAATCGTCTCAAGTCGCCTCACAAGCAACGTCTTCTCAGCGTCAAGAGTAGGCAACAGCCATTCGTGGATCACGCTCCACGCCTCAGGGACGCAGTCGCAAGCACCCAACCGTTCTTCAATGTCCGTGCCGCAGGTTGCTTCCAACATGTACCCCCACGCCCGCTGGTGAGCTGCCACCAGATGTGCACCGTGAGTCTGGTTCAGGTATGTGCGATCCAGACAACTGATAACGTTGACATAACCAGTAGATGGCATGTGGTCAAGGGTTCGCTCCAAATCCTCGACAGCCAGGAAATTCCGCATTCTCCGAAGCCAGCTCACGGCCTTCGTCGAATTCGTCGGGATTTTGGGCGGGTTGCGACTGCTGCTGTAACCGCTCAAAGCACAATTTCCGTCATTTTTCATGCTCACCCGTTGTGTACCGAGCCCAGCTCCACCAGCTGCCCCGGCAGTCGTTCTTCCGGCAGCCATTGCTCCTGCCGGTGCATCGTTCTTCTCCCTTAGATGCCCATATTCCATCTCCGTCCAGTACTTCTCCCACATGTTTTTCCTCCGCCTAATTACGCCGCAAAAAAAAAAAATGCGGCACGATGTATCTCCTACTGCTAGACTTATTCTTGTTCACGTAACTGGATCTCCTTGGCACGCTTACCGCTGCTGCCCTTGTATTCCAAATGCTGTCCCTGGATCTCCTTGGCGCGCCTGTCGCGGCTGCCCTTGTATTCCAAACTCTTACCCTGGATCTCCTTGGCACGCGCGGGCAAAAACCGCCCTGCTGCTGCTGCCCTCGTATTCCAAACCCTGTTCCCTGGATCTCCTTGGCGCGCGCGGGCAAAAACCGCCCGCTGCTGCTGTCCTTGTATTCCAAAAGCTTACCCTGGATCTCCTTGGCACGCGCGGGCAAAAACCGCCCTGCTGCTGCTGCCCTCGTATTCCAAACCCTGTTCCCTGGATCTCCTTGGCGCGCGCGAGCAAAAACCGCCCGCTGCTGCTGCCCTTGTGTTCCGGTGCCTACCTCCCGAACCTTTCCCTACCGACGTCAGCTGACTACACGATATCGTGTTTGGGGTGTCGGCGCGTGTACTATGTTATCACGCTCGCGGGCTCTTGTCGAGAGCGTGTTGCACAAAGGAGTGACTCAAGTTCCTTGATTAACTATTAACGAGTGAGAGACATGGGCAGGCAAGCAGAGCCTACGCGTCAAGTCCATCGCACCCATCATGTACAATATCTATCTGCGTAGCCCCCGGAGATCTCGGAGATTCGTATCCTGCCGAGTACACACACAAACAAACCTAGAGGGTCCTATTCGTTCCCGAACCCTCGAGTACATCGTACCATCTAGACCTTCCAATATATATATACTTCAAGTATATTTTTTTTGCCTTCCGACAATTGCAGATGTACCTCAGAAAACTTTCACTTAATGTCTCATACTCTACATGAATATTAAACCAATACGAAGTACAACAACATATGTAGGACTTATTTCTACTGTCATTTACATCGTACAAGTATCTCCCCTTCAACTTGAAATAAAACCAATGACAATCCTGATGGTATCCTATATGCGTTCGTAAGCTTGCTAAAATACTACTGCGTTGATGTCCGCTTGTAAAAGCTGAAATCCAACAAATGCTTTGATCCATGCTCCAATATATAGTATCCTCCAGAGGCGAAACAACTTTGTTTCCCTCTGGAGGGTTCATTTTCAAACCCTCGGATACATTTGTCAACTCTAGACTACATAGGTCATATCCTCTGGCTGTAGGAGTTCATTTTCATTTCCATCACTGATCACGATCAATCGCTCTCCTCCCAAAACAACATGCCCCTTGGATACGCCATACATATTCTACTACATGCTGTTGATCCTTCCTTGCGTATCCTCCCACGTCTTAGACGAATAAACCGCACCAGATCACCAGGAGAGAGGTCTACAAAACGTACACAAAATACTCACACCTGTCGGCAACGATACAAGACCAATTGCTCCATGCCCATCCCAGTCGCGACTCTTGCCGGGGAGGCCCAGACGTACGGGAAAGAATCTATCCATGAAGAAAGCAAGGTTGAGAATGAAGGAGACGCCGCGAAAGACAAAAATATATAGTCAAACAAACGGCATGATGATACCCCCCCACGTCCACATATAGGGTATCTAGTCTCAATATGAGCACCGCCCAGAGCCAGAACGGCCATTGATGCATCAAGTGTTAACTTGGGGGCGCTCTCCTCGCCCTCCCGGTCATCCTCCCGATCGGGGTCCCTCGTGGTTGCCGCTAATATCCCGGTTGGAGGCAATGACTTCTCGTCCTCCTCGGAGCCGTCAGAAAAAGACCACGGGAAATAGTAATCGGCGTTGTTGTCGTCGCCCCCTCCTGCGGTTTCGTAGTACGTGGTGTGTGAGATGACGTGCAGTCAGGAATAAATCGATGGATCAATCACCTCCGCAGATTCAGAATCATCGACTGGCTGAAATTACGCGGTGGTGGTGGAATCACATAATAATCGCATCATTATTACTATCACAACTTTAATCTTACGTGACAGGGTAACTACTAATGTGTTCATTTCATGCACAACTGACTCTCTCTGTTGGGTCCAATACCTTCCCCACATACAGATTAATGCGGTGGGAAGGATGGTACAACAGTGAGTCCATGTCTGGGGTACAGCGACGAGGACGCGGGTATATGTGAGAGTGACGAACACTNAGTCTTCAAGGAACGACTTCTTCAGATCGTTTCGGTGGCTACACAGGTGGCCATATCTCGGCGAGTGCAGAGGTACAAGCTCGCATTGCGCGGGCGTCAAGACGCCGAAAACAGGCGAACAAGATCGACCTCGGACCAGTCAACGCCAATGATATGGGGATGGAGTGTAGACGCATCGTAGAACGCGTTTTCGTTTGAAGTTGACGTCTTGTTTGAGAGTAGATGTGACAGATTTGCGTAGAATAGGGTAAGATGTTATCATGAACGGAGATGAAAGGGCTTTTCCAACACGGAGATGTAGCATGGATCAAAGCATTTGTTGGATTTCAGCTTTTACAAGCGGACATCAACGCAGGCAGTAGTATTTTAGCAAGCTTACGAACGCATATAGGATACCATCAGGATTGTCATTGGTAAGTTGAAGAGGAGATACTTTTACGATGTAAATGACAGTAGAAATAAGTCCTACATATGTTGTTGTACTTCGTATTGGTTTAATATTCATGTAGAGTATGAGACATTAAGTGAAAGGATTCTGAGGTACATCTGCAATTGTCGGAAGGCAAAAATAAATAAATAAATAAATACATACTACCATTCAACAGTTGTTGTCTTCACATTAAAAAAAAAGTATATAGCAGTATTAGTAGACTATAGGAGAGATAAACTTACAGCAATTACTAGTTTCCGAGCATAGATCGGTGCATGTGTGCCGGAAGTAATACCTGTTGGCACATCCGGTCTGCCTCATCCTGGGACAGAGCGCACGGCAAAACCCATTATGCTATGTATTGCAGTGCTAGATGCGACGACCCTGACGACGGGAAACCGCTTCACAGAAGCGCCAGATCGATGCAAAAAGTATCGGCCCACTTGACAAATAAATCGAGACCATCATCCACTATCTATCGCACAAAATGCTTTTAAGACTAAAATCGTGATACATAACAGTCGTGAATACCCTCTCCTTTGAATGAAAAACTACACCTCCTGCACTCCCCATGCTGGGAATCACAAGTACAGCAATCACAACAACATCAAGCAACGACGAGGTACGCTGGCATCAGCTCCTGTGTGCATTTCCTCTGCTCTCGCCGCGGACGAGGCGTCGGATCGATCACATATTGAGGGTGCTGTCTGCACCCTCATGTCGTATTTCGAGTTTGAATCTAGAGCAATAGACTAGGCAGTACAGTGTAGGTTGGATCTGGAAAGAAAGGATATCTGCTCCATCCTATCATGAGAGCGTAGACTAGGCAATGGCTAGACTAATGGTCATATTGTGCGTACCCCTGTGTACTTTGCAAATTATATAGGTGGGTTGCCCCTACTTTGTCTCCCTGCCGGTCTCCATGCATGCATGCATGTTTTCTGCTCTTGAGCGAGGCACACACACACCGGCGATCTTTCGTCAAGCAAAGTGATCGCATGAGCTCAGAACGGACCTCAATCGGCCTGTCGTCAGTCACGTAAGTAAGTAGACTGAGGGTGAAAAGATTGTGCCAGAACTTTCTGGCGAAACCCACAGTATGAACTCCGCGGTGTGTGGGAGTTTCTTGTTTTGATACGGATGGGCCACGGCTGGCTTCGAAGACGAAATGTGTACGTTGTTGCTGTCCACAATGTCTAGCATGCAACCGCAGACTCGCTACTTTGAATAAACGCAGCAACAACAATGGACCATGAACCGCATGGACAAGAGTTTCGCCAGGTGCTCCATGCCAACTAACTTCTTATCGAGAGACGGGTTAGAAAGCGAATACAACCCAACCCCGCACGCACGTAGTAGACTATGTAGATGTTGTGCGCAAGAATTAACGCCGAACTTTCTTTGCGAACAAGTACGCAGAAAAAGCTGGGTACCGCAATGAATGAATGACGGTGCAAGTTCGCACTTGTACATGCAGCGGCAGCAGCCACCCGCGAAACTACCGCCCGTACCTGGCGGAGGAACGCCGTCCTTCTCCGTCGAGTCAAATCCGCCAAAGCTCCTCCTCCAGCGCTCCTCCAGCGCCAGGGGACGGCGTGTGCGCAGGTGCGGCTTCTCCTCCAAGACTCCAGCAGGACTGCCCCCCCTCAGTCGAAAAGGTACCGCCGATGGATCTCGATATTTAGCCTAGCTATTTGTGTTCAGAATAGTTTGTAGTCTAGGTTATCCACAACACAAAGAGAGCAAAACAAAATGTCCCGCGAATTTATTTTAGAGCGAGTGAGGAGGAGACCATCGCGTGCAGGAATGACGGATATCCATTAGCCTACACCCCAGATACAGAGGAGGCCACTAACGTAAACATGTAAATGTGCATGAATGACGGATATCCGTTAGCCTACACCCGAAATATAGGGGAAGCCACTACTAGCCTAAACATGTACTTACGAAGTATATGTGCATCATGATGGATACCCTTTAGTCTACATCCCAAATATAGGGCAAACCATTGCCTCAGCCACGTCAAGGGGTCCGTAGGCTAATGGATAAGCCGCTGCCCTTCGAAGGCAGATATTGTCGGTTCGAGTCCGGCCGGACTCGTAAACCTTTTTGTACATTTTCCGTCCCCTTTTTTTTTCTACAGAGTAGATACACACCTGTTTGCTCCGTTGCTCCCATGCCCTGGTGCGTAGTGCCTGGTGCTGATACGTTACCCTTTGGTTTTTTCTTAGGCGGGTGTGGGAAGCGTCCTCCTTTATTTTTGTTTTTGTTTTATTTTGATCGGTTTCCGAGGGCTCTTTTCTCGAACGGTCGGTTCTTTTCTTTCGATCATTTTGTTTTCTTCTTCCGAGTGGTTTGTACCCCTTTTTTTTTTTCTTAATATGACACAACGAGTCCATCTCTATTTTTTTTTTTTTTGCCTTCCGACAATTGCAGATGTACCTCAGAAA